GGGGGGGGGGAGCAGCACCCATCATGGGAGACAGCTCTCGAGGGGCAGGAGAGGAGGGGGTCATCCCCTCAGCTCAGCTTCCAACGAGTTGCAGTGGGTGGGGGTGGGGTGGCTCGGCGGACCTGTTCCCCAGTCAGACTAGGGCTGCAGGAATACGACCACAGAATGACGCACACAGAAGGGCCCAACCCCTTGTGAGAGGGGCGCGCCCAAGCGCTACCACCACGGCCGCGAGCAGACCATGACCTCGTCCACCGCGGCCGCGGTGCCTCGCAGGGGGGACGGCGACGACGGCGAGGACATAACCTCACTCCCGCACGAGCCCGTCGACGGCAAGGTGCTGGGCGCGGGGGCGACGACAACCCCGGGTACTCACTTGTAGGTGAGGCCGTCGCCATTGCCGAAGAGCTGCGCGCCGGTCAGACCGTCCTCGGGGACGTAACCAGTACCTCCGCAGATCAGGTAGTCGGCCATGCTTGCGGGTGTTGTCGGCTGGATGCTGGGGGCAGCCACGGTGGAGGCCAGTGTAGAGCGAGGGCAGTCAAACGCCTGGAGCTGAAGCTGCAACAAGGGGACGGGGTGAGACTGGCGCCAGGCTCAGGGCCGTAACGATCAACGGGACACACTACACGTGCGGGGCCACGCTCCGCAGGAGCAGCGCGGCCGGCCGGGCGTCCGCACCTGTCAACAGCCCAAGCAGCACAGAGTTCTTGCAAAGTCGTACTTCTCCCAGCTGCGCGGTGAGGTCGCCTCGGGCCTCGGGCTTCGGCTCACGTTCGGCCAAACTTCGGCGTCTTTCGGCTCGATACGGCCGAGTTCGGCTCGGCCGGAAGTCGGTCTTCGGTCGGGCTGCGTCGTTTCCGGTGACGCCAAGATTTGAAATTGCGCGGGGGACCGCGATGATTCTTGGCTGTTGTTCGTAGTCGACCAGATCTGTACTGTAGTTCTGATCATTCTTCGTAGAGAAAATAACGAATAGCGTACGAAATCTTGGCTCAACAGAAAACTGAACTCGTGGGAAAGGGGGAAGGTTGGAGGGGAACGTGGAAGACAATCAGCATCCGCCATCTGGTGGCGCGTCATTGAACTACTTAGTCCTCGCCGTCGGCTGTCGGCGGCAGCGTCAGCTGTTTGCTGTTCTGCTGTCTGTTCTATGTTGACTGTTGACAGACAGAACATGAATCGCAAAGTCGAGGACTTTTAAAGATTAGAAGCCCGTTGTCCTTTTTTCTCCTACATTTTCTCATCCAATATCGGCCCTGTCATCGTTCTGGGTATGTCATATTTCTGCAAGTGTACGAGTGTTTGTGCTATTCGTCGTACCGCTATACGTAGCATGTTTTATTGTGAAGTGAACTGTAGCTTTGTGTGCTTTTGAGGTTAATCGCACTTGTACATCTTATACTTTCCTTTCCTATCTTTGACTCGTATGCGTAAAAAAATAAAATAAAAATACGCATTACTTTTGTGCCAAGTACAACACCTAGTTTTGGTTGTCAAGGATACTTTTCAGCGTATTTTATGTATGAGCTTTATATCTAATTGCTGTTTTTCAAATCTAATAATTGTTTATGTTGTGATGTTTTGTTGCAGTGTTTTGGTTGTCTCTAACCGATTTTGATTTTGAACTTTTGGCATGTCTAGTTTGGAAATGTTTTGGCTAGGTGTAGTTAAATATGTATTTATTTTGACCTCCAAGTACTAGTCTCTGTGTATTGTCTGTATTGGAGTGTGCATGTCAAAAATGCCGACTACATCTGAGACTGAGATGTCTCCGAAGGACGATGTAAGTTTTAGCCAATTATCATGGTGCTGTTTACACTTTTTCTGTATCCATATATTGCATCTTGACTGCATGCTCTTTAGAAAACGATATGAACTCAGCAGAAAACACTTTAGGAAATTTTGATTTAATGCTCTCATATTTTTCAGGTGAATGAGGATGAAAATTTGAACCCCCCTCCCCCTAATCCTGAAAGCATAATGGCTAATCGTTTAGATGAAGGCTGTGAACTACAGCAGCTTGTTGGTGATGATGATGAAGTTCGAGGTGGAGCGACTCCCCCTGTCAGCCCAACAATTTGCAGGATAACTCAAACCTCTCCTTCAACTCCTAACAGCACCAAGGTAAATTTTTGAAGTGAACAAAAGTATATGACTAGTTGTGATTCTCAGAAAACTAAACTTGGCATAATTTTACAAACGAAAAGTATTGTAATACCATGAGTATGTTGGAAATTGCCTTTTGATTTCTTTATTTAATTATCTTTCAAGTAGATGTAGAGAAAAGGAGAAGTTTTGTATTTACCTATCTGCATGAACGTACCCATAAACATAAACCCTAAATCAGCAACAATGATGTCACTTCAGTGAACTGAATCAAACTGCTGTTGTGTTAAACTATCAAGGTTGAACATGCTTCTTATGTGTTGCATGAACCGAAGACTTAATTAATAAATGCTTTGTCTTCTTGGTGATGGATGTTTCTAACCAGTCTTAACAAGTAGTATTAGGAATTAATCATAGAAGAAAAAGCTTTCAGTAATTCTTTCTCTTCCTGCTTAAAAGGCAGTGTGTATCAATTTTGATACGATTGCATGTGCTTCATGTGTGCTTTGTGTTTTTTCTCTGTAGCGAGTAGTAAATCATCAGGAATATGAGCGTATTCCCACATGTGATGATGATGCCATTCAGGTATCAACACCAGCAGGCCCAGATAGTGTAAGAAGTTCTACTGCCGCTGGACCAAGCCCAAGTCACGGTACAAGTTTAGGATCCGGTACCTCTCGATCTCTTAGCCGGATAGCAACAGCACCAACTATGAGTTCCGTCAGCAATGGTTGGATTTATTGCATCTTTGCTACTAATCTGTGTAATTTTAAAAAGGTTTTTGTTTTTAAAAAGGAACCTTTAATTTTTGTCTGCAGGGCCTAATACACGATTACTGTATGTTAATGAAAAGCTTTCACGTGGTCCGTCACTGATATCAGAACATGGAGGAACAAGACCGCCTAGAGATCGGAATCCAAAGACTGGGCAGAATGCACCTAGGGCTGAAATTAAGAGAGGTAAGCAATATCTTAAATCAAAAATCATAAAGTTATTCTCTTGCAAACATTTTAATTGTAATTCTTAACAATTACTACATATAATACATGATTATGTAGATATAGAAATAGGGAACTTGAATCAAAATGTATGTAAGATCTTTCATTATACTCAAATGAAGTGCTTTTGAACACAGAGTGGGCCTATGCTTGTTCTGTGTATGCTGCTCATATTTATTTTGTGAATGATCCAGCTTCGCATCTATCTTAGACTTCCTTGTACTGTAATTTGTATGATGCTAGATAACTTTTTATTATTTATGGTATTATTTATTTTTAACTTTCAGAATTATTGCTTACTTAGCTAGATAATTGGATTGATTTGGCAGAACCAACCTAATTCCAAAGTAATGGTAGTAGTTGCCTAAGAAGTATAGGGTAGCATAGGCTGGCATTTTGCAGATATTCTTGCATTTTGGTTATTTGTTATCATTGATTTTGAATTAAATGTAGTTTTAGTTCTTGCCATAGTTATATTGACAGACCTATCATTATTGGCATTGATACTCACTGGCATTTTTTGTTTTGTTCTTTTGTTTTATGTTTTGTGCATGGTTCTTCACACTTTGCTCTTCATGGCACAACCCCTGTATATGCACTGCCTGCTGCGTATGAAATGCAATCCTATGCATCACAACCTGCCTGTCAGGTGCCACAAGCATAGGTCTTACCAGTACCGGCTCTCACAGTCAGCTAAGTCATCTCCTGAATTCACGGTCAAGACTGACTGCCCAAGATAGCCGGTCGGCTCTACGATACCGCATGCGAGATCCTGATCGCTCTTGTGAACATCACTGTTTTCTAACAGATGTAACAGACGTTCATCGTATGGAGGAGGCTCTCCTTCACTTACTAGAGGACTTTCACACTGGCAAATTACGTGCATTTGGTGGGTTTATTTTTCTTTTGATTATAATCATAATTTTTTAAAAAATTACCTAACGAAAAGATAACCTTTGTGTTTAGGAAAGGATTGCAGTATGGAGCAAATGACTGGAATTCGGGAACAACAAGAGCGTCTTGCACGCCTCCACTTTGATTTGGGCGCTCAAGGAGAGCTCTTTTCACCCCTTAGCGATGAAGGTCTACGTGCTGGTCAAGAATACATGCAAAGCTTAATGGGAAGCTTAGAACAATTGAGTGTTTCAATTGAACGTTTACATTCCTTCAGTGAAAGCAGAGAGAGTAGCCAAAAGCCTGAATAAATTCAATTCAGAATATTCAGTATTCTTGGTGCCTGTTAAAATTGAAAATTTGGTTTTCAATGACTTGAGGTTGGTGTTGATTTGAATTCTATGATTTTAACACTTCCAGTTCCATTAGTATCTTTGATTTCAAAAATAATTTTGTCATCTTTTATACATTTACACACAGATTAGCAAAGTGTCTAGAGTTTTATGTATTTTTATACGTAGTGGTAAGATATTTATGTTATCTGTGATGCTTACAATTACTTTTTTGGGGTTTTGTCAATTTTATGTCTAAATGGGTCTGTTTTAGGCATTCAAAATGTTTCATTATATCATGTCTACTTATTTTCCTGAACATAATTTGGTGTGTAACATACTAAATGTGGGTGAATTTTATTGTTTATATTACTTTATTTTGTTATATCCGCTCTGCTTCTCTTCAGTTTCTTTTTATCTCTGTTTATCACTGCCTGTGAAATTGTGACTGTGATTAAAGAATCTGTGTTGGGTTATCAAATCAAAATATGTTGTTATTCTTAAAATTTACAGTGTATAGAGCACACATCAATATTAATATCTAATACACTATAGATAATACTCCATTTTTATTAATTAACAAAAAATGCAATTTTTACATCAATAATTGCCTTAAACAGCTAAAGCTGAACTTTTACTCCAGTCAACAAATACCCTCCACTACCCGTCATGTTTACCAGAGGATGTGTCCTGTTAGACTCTACCTGATAATTTCTAAGCCATGTATCAGTGAGCCTTACGTTAGTGACATCAGGCCTTTTGATAAGTTCTTGAAGAAGCTCTAAAAGGGGCTCTCTCACTTGCCCATACACAACAAAGTTACGGGATGGTGCAATTAATGGGAGAAGAGCTTTTAAGACAGAAGAGGGGTGTTCTCTACAGGCAATAACTAGTCCATCTGCTTTGGCGCTTAGTGTGCTTGCAGCTCTGTCAGTCTCAACCTCCCAGCGTGACTTCTTCTTTGCAGATCCATCATCATTGCCACTCTCACTGTGCTTTCTTTTATTTGGGCAGCTGTTTTCTTGGTCAGAGTTGGTGAGTATCTGATCCTTATCATTAGCTTCTTCAGAACTTGATATCTTCATTTCTTTTTCTGGCGTGGTACTTTCTTCCTTTAAAGCAGGGGTTAATTCAATTTTCTCGGAAGATGATTCTTCTTTCTTCACTTCTTCATCATTAAATACTTCTTGATCTTTTGCCAGTACAATGGCTTCTTCAGCTGAATTGCCATTACTTTCACTTTTAATTTTCCGTAGTAAGTTATATATATTAACACAAATTAGTGAATTATCTTGTTCCTCAGTCAAATTAAGAGCTAGTAAGGCTTGCTTTGAAGGGTAATTTCCAAGATGAACATAAACAAGTCTGCCTTCACTGGAGAGTCCATTAAGCATTGCTGCTGCAGGAAGTCCCTGACATCCACTTTCAAAAACTATGTATCTCCCATGAGAATGGAGATTGACTGCTGTAGTTATTTGAGACAATGTATCCATTCGGAGGCCAAATATTTTCCCTTGATCCAACCTGAACATAATTTCAGCAATTAGACGAAGGGTTGGCTTTCTCACTGTTATGTATTCAAAGTATTTCTTTTCCTTTTTCTTCAGATATTTTTGCTGAGAGTATTCTGTTTTACTTTGAAATGTCGTACTGTTTTCAATCAGGGTCCCGACAATTTCTTTGGAAGAAAGCCCCTCATCTCTTAAACTAACTATTTCTTCCATAGAAAGTTTCTGACTACTGCCATCATCAACGATGTTACGATTGTCGGTACCACTAGTGGTTGTACTATTATTACTCATAGTTATTGAGTCATCTTTCAGGTCATTAACACTACATTCTTTTAACTGGTAGTTTCGTCTTCCCCCTTTTTTCTGTTCCATTCTGTACGTTGTCCATACAGATTTTCCAATTACCATGCCAATGTCTAAAATATCTTTGCCAAGATTTACTGTCCCATTTTCGGCCACCTTATGGAGCTTGAAATAATCTTGTCGCTGAATAGCTATGTAGTCACCAGCCTTCACAATATCCAAAGCTGCAGCCATCACGCAAAATTCAGAACCTGAAAACTGACAAAACAATTGTAGGAACAGAAAACAAAGTGTACACATTCCCAACTGCCCATATTTTAAAGGTTAGGTTCGTTTGTTCTAGACAAGTTTCGAGGCAGATACTCACAATTGAAACAACCGCCAAGCAGAAGAGTATCACGCGTGACTAAAGGGTTTACCTCTTCCAGGAATCAAGAGATGTCAGATCAATAATCTTCAAAATATAACCATAACCATAACATGTGTTCTGTTGATGGCCAGACACCCCGACCCGGACCGAAACATCAACAGCGTCTTCGATAGTATCGAAGTTTTCTGACCCGCGGGAGTTACGTTTGCAGTCGGAGATCTAACAAGAAGTTTCAAGGTTCTTTGAATATTAAATTGAAAGTTAGAAGCTTAGCGAAAAATAACGTATCGTGAGAGTGGCAAAGAACCTACAGCGAGGCAACTCTTCTAGACTTCACTATATGGTAAAACAAAGGAAGGATATCCTAACTTTTAAGGGCACTAAAGCTCCAAAGGCATTCCAGTTTATGTTTCTTCGAAATGTTTCGTTCCTATGAAATAAAAATGGATTCTCATACCTGTTTTCGTAATCTACGCAGATTTCCGCGTCGAACGAGCCTATGGGCATGTATACATATGATGGGTCTGTTCAAAAATGGCATGAATTGATAGAATTTTTTGCTTTTGACTTGCTTTTCATTTTCGGAGGGGGGGGGGGGCTCAGGAACCAGACCGGTGAACGAACGGGCAGTGAACGCTTGAACGAACAGCTGCTGCTGGTCCCATTTGCTCTTATAGCGCGTTCGACGCTCCCGTTCGCTCATCCACCTCGTTCGTTTATTTGTTCTATTCGATCACTTTGTTCCTGAGCACCCTCCGTGATTGCTTATCAGAACCCTATCACATGTAGGATCGTTTGACGCGGAATTCTGCGAGGAATGCGACAATGTATCCCAAAATGTGATCGGTTTGCCCATTCAGAAAATATTTGGGAAAATCCGAAAATGCACACTTTAGCGTACCAATAATGGGTTGAACACCCCTGGAAAGATAGGATTTCGCACCTTTGTTTTAGTGTTTTCGATGTCGGCAAGTTGGTGAAGGCGGACGTAGAGAGGCGGACACGGACGCGGACACCCATGCGGACACGCCGAACACGTTCAGTGCGGGTGGCACACTACCTTATTATGATTGTACCGTACGTAAGTGTTATCGCAGTGCGTCCCGGTCGATACGGAACAGTGCTCAGCAAAACCGGGGGTAGCTGACCACAACCGCGGACCGCGAGCTACCCCTGCGGACCAGCTAGCTACCCCCCCCCCCCCCCTCTGTAACGCCCCTGGAGCATTGGCTGCAAGAACAGTGGCGGAGCGATGCTTTGGCGCTTGGAGCTGGTCCCCTGCGCCTGGTGGGTATGCAGTCCCGGATGGAGCCGTGCGGGCGGGTTGCATAGGAAAAAAGTAAGCGGGGTTAAGGTAAGGCTTGGGTGAAACTGAAAAAGTCAGGTAAAAAGCAGATTTTTTTAAGTTTTAAATCTACATGCTAGTGAAATCAAGAAAAAGCTCTCTATATTATTGTAAGTTAGTTTGTCGCGGTTCTTTTAACATATAATAAGTCTATAGTTGGACTTACCACTGTGCGCAAGAGCTATTTTGAAGTTATAAATTTCTTATGAAATTTCAATATAGCTCTTGCGCACAGTGTTATGTCCAACTATACACTTATTATATGTTAAAAGAACCGTGACAAACTAACTTAGAATAATATAGAGAGCTTTTTCTTGATTTCACTAGCATGAAGATTTAAAACTAAAAAAACGGTGTTTTTTGCCCGACTTTTCCAGTTTCACCCAAGCCTTACCTTAATCCGAGGTTAATCAGACACCAGGTACAATGCTTGATGTACTCCAATGAATGTACTTCGCGTACTCCAGGTGTACCAGGTGTAACTGTGAATACGCAGCAGTGTTGCGGGTTCGCCTACTCTTTATACCCATAAGGGGCCACGGCCCTCTGCAATCCCGCAACACTGCTGCGTATTCACCGTTAACACCCGGTACTCCTCCGTGTACTCCGACTTACTCCGAGCGTTCTCCGGATGATATTTGGCTGTACTAATCCTGTTTTCCGATGTACTTCTGCTGTACATACTACTGTGTACACTAAAAAGCCGAGTTTGTCGACTCCTAGGTTGTCAAAGTCAAATATGTCAAAAGGTCCAAAAGAAAAAAAAGTTGCAGCTTTCCAAATTGTTTGTAATAACCTGAACCACTGTCGAAAAGGTCTATCGTCATTCGAGTAATCCTACGTCGTCGGGGAGGTCGCGGGTCGTTGGCAGCTTCACCGAGTGTTAACATTTTGAAGGCGTGACCCGTGATGGTGACGACGGCTGTGACGGAGATGGGAACGTTCTGTCGGTCTCGGTCGGTCTGGTCCAGTCAGCAGTAGTGAGTGTGAGGGTGAATGTGTGTGTCCTGGTGTGTCGCTGTGGGTGGAGAGAGAGAGAGGGGGGGGGAGGGAGGGAGAGAGAGAGAGAGAGAGAGAGAGACGGAGTGGGTGGCGCAGTATACAGTTGTTTTCGAGGGTTCCACATAAGCGTGACCACTACTGGCGGGGGCGGAGGGTGCTGCACACAGTGCGTTACACAACGACGGGGAGATTCCCTTTGCTCGACTCGCGCTACGCACCGGTGCACAGCATCCCCGATGCGGAGCAATCAAAAGCAAAACCGTGTGGATTATTGCTTGCTGCGATGAAGCGAAGAGAAGGGGGAAGGGGGTAGTGGATCGAGGAAATGCGCGGTGTTCGGTACGCACTAAAAGCTTATGAACAATTTTATTCATAGCTTGGCTGAGAGTTGTGTAAAACATGCTCGACTTACGCATTTTTGATACGTTCGCATAAATTTGTTCATACTGGCGTATTAAAAAATGCGTAAGCGGAGCACGTTTACGGTTCAAATTGACCAAATTTTACTTAACGTGCGCAGTGCTGATTGCTGGCAATTTGCTGTTATCATCACATCAGGTTGCCGACTAACCCCTCTCGCACTTGAAGCTATGTTGTATCGCGCAGGCGTGCGGGCGGGGTCTGGCTACCGTCGCTGACCATGGCGCCTTACGGCCGCGACTAGGCAACCCGCTCGCACGCCTGCGTGCGGTACAGTATTGCTTCAAAAGTGCGTGGGGTAAATCAGCTTCGAGCTGCACTGCGATAAATCACATTCTAGACTGAAAACCTCCGTTGAAACCACTGACACCGCATATGTAAGCGCACTGCTGAATTTCAGATGGAATTCCCATCCCAAACACACCACAGTGCGCTCAGAGTGTGATCAATGTATACTTTGATCAGCTGTACTACTTGCTAGATTTCTTTGTCTCTCAGCAGAACAAACAACGCACCATAGGGAATCCCCTCGTCGACAACGATCGAGCCATTATATCTTCTTTGGAGGGACAGGTCAGGTAAAACACTGACGAAAGTAAACTGCTGTTGCGAAAATGATCAGTAGGCCCAGCTAAAAATTACGATTATTTTATTCGACGTCGATTTACTGTCATCAATTTTCACCGAGTTCAATACCAATATGTGCTCAAGATCGAGGGTTTTGTGAAAGATTTTCTTCTATGATGAACACAAGGCGCAGAGAAGTTTGTAAACAAAGAAATGCGTACGTATATGTGGGGAGGGAAAGAAAGGCAGAGTTTTCAAATTGTTTTTTAGTCGGTTCACAACATTTTGAGCGACTTGCCGACTTGGCGGTCGCGACGCAGCGCACTGCCGTGAGCTTTTTGTCGCGTTCGTTTGTTCGTCCCGCTCCACCCGCTCCGCCCTCCGCCTGCCGCGGGTGAATATTAATAGTATGAATAGGATTACAAGAAGATGATCTTCAGGGACGCGCCATCGGTTTATTACCTTGGGGAGTGCGTCACTTGGGGGGGGGGGGGTGGAGGGGCTGCACCCACCGCGCGCATGGACACGTGAACCCGGCCCGAGGGGCGCACATCATCTGGCATCTCCTCCGGCCCGCGGCCACTTAATCCCGGGTTATTCTCCGGCTTTCTCTGCCCGCGCACTGCAAATGATTGCAAAGAATAGATTCGTATTGCAAACGTCTGAATCCTTGCTAACAATAATGTGTTTTCCGTACGCCGTGACCCCGTGAGCGCTAGAAATAAATGAGGAGCATGCTTCTCGTTTGTTTTCATTATTAGGCTGGAAAACCGCTCCACCGACCATGCAACGACTGTTTTTGTACAGTGGTATTTTAAGTTATTCTATCTATTTATTGCAACTATTGGGTATTAGCCAGGCACGTGTTATTCCATGGCCGAATGTATACAATAACAACCGGCAACGCCGGCTTTAAAGGCGCCAATATTCAAATAAGCCTCTCATTATGTTGTCGCATAGTAGGCCCGCAAGCCCTCCCCCCTTGAAGTCACCCCCAACTCCTATTTTTTTACACACGTTTACACACGATACTTCGAAAGCCCCCCCCCCCATAAAAAAACGCCTCAGGGGATCCCAAAGACGAGTGAGTGAGTGAGTGGGTGAGTGAGTGAGTGAGCGAGTGAGTGAGTGAGTGAGTGAGTGAGTGAGTGAGTGAGTGAGTCCGCCTACGCGCCCCATCCGTATGGTATCATTGCAGAATGCACTGAGAGTAAACGCGTGTAACAGGTTCAATAACTCGCTCGGACTGCCACAAGCGATGCGGACCGCGGCGCGCTCTGCAAACGCTCTCTCACGAGCGGCTAGGCCACACACCAAAACTCCTCTCCTCTATGTCCTCGGCGGGCCAGCTGAGCACACCGATCGGCTCCACTCACGACACGGCTCTAAGCCCCCCCCCCTCCTACCTCCGTAAACAGTGTCTGACGGATCCTCCGCTAGAATTCCCCAGTCTGCCTGCCCAGCGCTCGTGCCCGCGTGCTCCACTGGACTGGAGCGCTGGAGCGCGCTGGAGCGCGCTGGAGCGCCTGCCGGGTAGGCCTCGCGCCGCGCAGCCGCGCAGCCGTGCGCCACGCTCGCGATGTTGCCTACCGCGCCGGGCGCTCTCCCTCCATACCCGCCTGGGGATATAAATGGCGTACTCCCTCCCTCCCTCCCTCCCTCCCTCCCTCATACACTGATTTCTATTTTAACAAACAAGTATTACAAATGCTTCAATGTCTTTGTTCGTTACGAAGGGCAGTTCTTCGTCATAAGAGAGGGAGGTACAGTACGTAGTGCATACTTTGGCCTACGACCCCCTCCTGAGTACATGATCATTGTGAGTGTCACGAGCCATTTTATGTAGAATACCATTTCAAGTATCAGTCGTGCATAATTTTTGTCGGTTTTTCGACATTCTATCGACGACTTTGCCCGACAGTTTGTCTTGGACACTCACTGGTGCTTCAAAGTGTGCTCTATCTGCAAGCACTCACATAGTCTCTGGT